GGAGGAGGGAGAGAGAGGAGGGAGAGAAAAAGGGAAGGAGAGAAAGAGGGAAGGAGAGAAGGAGAAAGGAGGAGAGAGATGGAGGGAGAGAGAGAAGGAGAAAGGAAGGAAGAGAGGGAAGGAGGAACAGAGAGAAAAAAGGAAGTTTGTGCCTGGTAAATAACTGGTAGATAATGAGTATCAGCTGAATAAATGAATGAACACATGGACATTTAAGCAATAAATTATCTAGTTCTAATCATATGTGAAATTTTGAAAATTAAGCAACAAAAATTTCTGAAAATAACAGCATAGGAAAAAAAGTGCCGCTTGTTCAAAACCCAAAACATAATTTATAGTCAACCACTGGTTGGGATATAAGTCAATGCAACCTTTTGAGGGCATTTGGTAAGGTCCATCAAAATTCTAAATGTATATACCCTTTGACTCAGTAATTTTTATATTTGCATAATATTATACAGCACATATGTAAGGACATTCATACCTAAGCTCTATTCATAACAGCAAAATAAAAGCCTAATAAGAGTAAGAGATTAAAATCAGTTGTGATGAAACCATCAATGGAATATTTAGAACCTTCAAAAGAAGAAGGCTGCTCCTCAACTGCACTTCTTATACTAAATTTCAAAAGACATTACTCATCTGGAAGCTCCTATAAGAGCTACAGAATGACATAGGACAACATATACCAAAAGCAGTATTGGTTTTTGTGTGGCTGTTTCTTCTAAAGGCCTAAAGCAAAACATTAAAATGCAGCTCAAATAGGCCTGCAAAAGGCTAATTTATGTGGTCCAAGATATAACAAGTTTCTGGTGAGCTAATTTTCCAGAAGGATACAACTCTGAATATCCAGAAGAAATTCAACACATATACTGAAGTACTCACTATGCATCAGGGACCGTTCTAGTCACTAGGCCTACAACACGGAACATAAAGTCTCAGTCCTCATGGAGTTTACAGCCTAATGGAGATCAATAACAAGCAAATAAATCAAAAAGATCCTGCTACTTAGAAATAAAAGCAGTGCTGGGCTCAGTGGCTCAGCCTGTAATCCCACGCTTTGGAAGGCTGAGGTGAGTGGATTGCCTGAGCCCGTGGGTTCGAGACCCACCTGGGTAACTTGGCGAGACCTCATCTCCACAATAAATCAAAAATCAGCCAGGCATGGTAGCACGTGCCTGTAGTTCCAGCTACTTGGAAGGTTGAGGCAGAAGAATCGCCAGAGCCCAGCAGGTCGAGGCTGCGGTGGCCAGGAGCAGCCACTGCACTTCCAGTCTGGGTGACTGAGTGAGACTCCAACTCAAAAAAAAGAAAAAAAAAGAAAAGATATAAAAAGCAGTATAAAGGTATGCCTTTTACATAGAGGGCAGTAACATAGGAGCTCACCAATAATGTGACATTTGAGCATAAACCTGAAAAAGTTAGGAGTAAACTTTGGCATATATCTAAGGGAAGGGCAGCCCAAGTTTAAAGGCATGAAGCAAGCTTGTGCTTCAATTGGCATGTTTCAGGGACAGTAACAAGGCCAGTGGGACTATGTGGAAATAAGGGAGTGAGTGCCAAGAGATGAGATCAGAGAGGCAACCAAAAAAAAACCAACAAGTAGGACTCAGGCTTTTACTATGAGTGAGATGAGGAATCATTAGAAAGTGCTGAGCTCAGGACTGCTGGAATCTGACAGAACGTTTTAAAGGATACAAACAGCTACACAGAGATTAGACTATTAAGAGTAAAACCATGGATACTGGAGAACTAGTTGGGAGGCTTTTATAATAATTCAGGCAAGAAATGATGGTGGCCTGGACCAGGATGAGTGATGGAAGTGGTAGGAAGTCAGATTCTGGCTGTATTTTTAAGGGAACGCCAAGAAGATCTGCTGGTAATTCAATGTGGAAATAGGAAAAAGAACTCTGAAGATGACTCAATGTTTCTGGCATAAATAACTAGAAAGATGGAACTGGTACTTATCAAAAGGAAAAACTGGGATAAGCAGGTTTTAGTGGAAGAAGGGAGACTCAGGAGTCTTTAGATGGTCTTCTCTATCATGTCTCTGTAGACTTCTGACAGGAAATGAACAGCAGACAACTCTGCTCTTTTTCTAAGGTCTAAGAATTACTTACTTAAGGGGACAGCTATATGCTCTGAACACCAGATAAGTAGGTTCTATTGAAAAGTCGAAAAGCCTCATCTTCAAGGCCACTCATCTCTTCAGTACACACAGCTGAGAGAAGTGCCTAGAAATCAATATACTCTTCATCGGCACTTTTCTGCAGGTATGGTACTATCAAGGTGGTAAGAAATGAGAAGAGCTACAGATATTACACAGGATAAAAACATAACCAAGGACAGTTTTCATCTTTGGTCTTTCCCGTTACCTACATCTACAGCCCACCAAGTTTAAAAATTGAGACGTCAATTTAACTTCTTGGTTAAGTAAGAAGTTTTGAAAAACTAAAAAGCTATCCCATTAAGAACAGTATTACTATCTGAAAATTTACTGAGAAGTAATGCAAGAAGAAATCACTGTTAGTTTGAATCTTTTACAATCTCAGCAATGACAATCCAATCTTCAGAACATCAAAAGCAAGCATGCAGGTCTTGTAATTAATACAAGCAGGTAAAGAGAATAACATTAGTGGGCAAATCAATAAAATCTCTCAAATATTGTACATCTCTAATTTCAAATTTGTTATTCCCAAATATACTAATAATATTCTAGAAAGAAATTTGGGGGAGGAATTAATGAAGTTAAAATCAAGGCCCCAAAGTTACCCATTTCTTTTATAGAAAATAAATATGATGGTTTCTGACAGGAGTAGGGGGATACATTCTACAACATTAAAGACCTCAAGATATCAATTTTCACTGCATTATATATATATTCTTAAGGCAAAATAGTAAAAAAAAAAATAAAAAGGGGGCAGGGGGATGCTCAATCTGATTGAATGGAAATCGTCAACAGCAGGCCTGCCTTGGTGGCTACCTGTGCACAGGGATCATGCTGACTCATTGAGACTGCTGTCCTTACTATCATTTAAAGTAATTCTTATGTTCTGCTTCTGTGTCATAAACACCACCACTCATGAGTAGACAACCATCAGCACATTCCCAGTCCTTAACTCTCACTGGTTAAGTACCCTAGCAGAATGGAATGGATCCTAACAGAATACAGATTTAAGAAGTAAGTTTCCTAAGTGGAATACTAGAGTGAACATACAATGTGGGGGGAGGGGGGATCCTCTGCATCAGTCTTAAGAGTCAGTGTAGAACAATAAAAAGTTAACAGAGTAGAAGCCTCCCAATGAGAGATCTCTGGGTAGAATCTTGGCAACTTGTTAGCTTGAGAAAATACCTTTACCTCATGAGCTTGTTTCTAAAATGAAGACAATTTATTAGACAGATCAAGGTACTATATGTAAAACACTTAGCACACACCATCTGACACAGAGTAGTTCAATAAATAGAAAGTATTATTATTAAAATTAGGGGTAACGGTATTAGCAATAATAAGTACTCATTTGTCCATCTGCAAAAGAAGAAAGAATAACCTTGGTGCCCTCAAAAGAAAGCTGGCTTAATTTATTTTATTATCTTTTAATGCCTCCTTGAGAAAAACATAAATAGTGATCATATACTGTAATTTCATTGTATTTATTTCCATAAAATCAAAATGGCAAAATTGTATACTAAGCTAAAAATCTCTAGACAGATAATAAAAAGATAAAGAAACATAACCAAAAACACTTTTTAAAATAATAATGTAGGCCAGGCACAGTGGCTGAGCCTGTAATCCCAGCACTTTGGGAGCCCGAGGCGAAAGGATTGCCTGAGCCTAGGGGTTCGAGACCAGCCTGGGCAATTTGGTGAGACCTCGTTTCTACAATAAAATCACAAAAACTAGTCAGACATGTGTGTCTGTAGCTCCAGCTACTTGGAAGCCTGAGGCAGAAGGATCACCTAAGCAAAGCAGGTCGAGGCTGCAGTAGCCGTGAGCATGCCACTGCACTCCAACCTGGGCAACAAGAGTGAGACTCCAACTCAAATAATAATAATAATAATAATAATAAGTAAAATAAAATAAAATAAAAATGTAAAGAGTGAATATATGATTTAATGTTTTCAGTACACATAATTAGATAAAATATTTTCTAAAAAGGCAAAAATAAGTGAATAAAGATATCTTGATATTGACATAAATGTCTACTTTATTAATAAATTTTCAGACATACATACTGACAAAACTGATAAATTAACTGATAAAAGACCTTGCCCTCCAGAATATAAGCTCCATTAGTACATATAGACCACGTCTATCTTGTTTACTACGTTAGTCCTCGGTATACAACAGGGCCTCAATAAACATCTGCTTGGTGAACATGCCATAGATACTCCTAATCATAAATGCAAACATTCTTAAGTTCACAAAATACCACTATACTACAGTAAAGATTGGCATTTTGTTATTTTATGGGTCCAGAGCTCACTGCTTTAAAAAGTTAAATGGAGTTATAACTCCTGTTAAATTCAGAGATATTTCTAAAAATCAATACTTACAAATATCAATAAGCAAATACTGCTTTAGAAAACAGTAACAGGAATTCAACCTAAAGAAAAATAATCACCTGTGCAGAAATCAGAAACCACAATTCAATAAGTTAAAAAAACTTTAAATAGAATGAATTTGTTACCAAAAACACGAAATGCTATTTGAGAATATGTACGAAGACATATTACATCAGAGGATGGAATCCTCCTTAATACAACTCTCTCCTGGAATATCTGACTCAATTTTAAATAAATCAATATCTGACAGCTGTAGAAAAAAACAGGTTCCTTCTGAAAGCAACTAAAAAAACAACCAGAATAGAAAAAGATATCAGCTTTCCCTGTTAGAATCACATAAAAATAAAATAAATTATAGGATCAAAATTAAGTAAAAGAGTCACAAAATAGTTAAAGGTACAGAAAGAATAATTCCTGTAACTCAAGAACCTAATACAATATCAGTTATATATTACAATATATAATACAATATAGTTAGCACTCAATGAACAATTGGGGAGTAAAGGAAAAAAAATTTACTTTTTTTCTGAGCTCCTATAATGAAAGTTTTAAACTTTTATTATTTGCAGATAAAAAAAATTCCTAAATGAAAAAATAACAAAAAAAATTGGAAAAAGGTAAATAGTAGATGAAAAGCATATAAAATCTATTCATTTTATTTTAATTAACTGATATTAACTGATATATTTCCTTTTTTTAATTCCAAAAACAAAGTAAATATTTGTCTTACAAGTTAAATCCACAGCAATACTCTTTAATTGCAACACAGCAATAAAATCAGCTTTGCTTGCAAATAAAAACACAAAAATAACTCAAAATTTTAAAAACTACCTTTACTAAGTTTTTTTTAAATTGCATGCTTTACACTGGTATTCAAGAGGTTATAAACACAGCTTCTAAATTTATATAAGCCACATTAACAAAGTTATTCAAATTCTAGAATGGTAACAATCCATTTTCAGTCCGACCAGGAAAACTATCCTTAGACGGCAGACCTCGAGTTTTTCTTCTTTAGGACAAAGCTTCTATTCATTTCATAATTAAATTTGAAACATTTTATGTAAGAACTCACTAAGGACTATTCTCAAGCATGCAATGCCCTTTCAGGCCACAGAATAAAAATGGTTCTGAATATTAATTCATATGTGTCTTACCAAGACACAAAGGAAAATCTGTGACAACTGAACAATTATTTTTCACCTTACTGAAAAGGCATGTTTTAAAATTAAAAACCACGAACAAATCTATCTACAAAATAATTCATTTTTATATCAAACAGCTGCAGACCCTGTAATTGAAATAATGTATCTAAGGTTACAAATGAAAAGTGCTAAGTATCATTCTTGAAGTGACAGATTAAGTTCCTAATCCAGTTACAGTAATAGCCATATTTGTAGTTTAACATAAATTAAGACCTTAATTATATTTGTGACTATTTTAAACAAAATAACAAATTCCTTTGTACCTGTGAATGTAATTTATAGCAAAGCCAGGTTCATTTTCCAAACCAATCTATTTCACACTGCAGAAGTACTCTGGTATAATGGTATAATGTAATTCTTGTTGTAGAATGTTGGAAGGATAGATTCACTAAAAGCACAAAAGAAGTTTGAAGATAAATGAAGATGCTATTCATTCAGGGGTAATTTCATCTTAGAACTATATGAAAGATGTTTCACTCACACAAGGTAGCGTATGGTCTCAAATTTAAGTGTGTTTTCAGCTCAAACATAATCCTGCTAGATTGACTATGTTGATACTGCATATCTAATAAAGAATTCTAGCCTTTTTCTGTTTAAAAAATAGACTTTTTTCTCGACTTATTACAATGTATTGTTCCGTTTAACAGCAAATTTAAAATTCTGCTTGCTATAGACTTTTTAAACAAAAAAATATACAGTTGACATTCTAACTTGTAACTCTCAGAACTACAGGAATGTGAAATTTTGCTAAGTTAAATGCATATTTAAATTAGCAAAGCATTACCCTTTATTACCATTTTACATTATTTCACTAATTACTAAAAGTGACAACTGTAATAGTCACCTAATTCTATTATGAATATACCTCATCTCCACAAGTTCTACAAGATTAATTTAAATGTTTATACACACCATACCATTTACATGTTGGGGAACTAACAGTAGTAGAAGTTTTTTTTAAAAAATCTGTTAAATTGGTTACAATTTAAGTTCACAATTAGCTTTATAAAGATCCTATTTTACATATTTAAATAATCCCACGTGTTGCAGGCATTAATCACCAAAATACTTCAATACTTCTGGCATATAATGTCATATGAGACAATCTGAAGAATTTAAACTCAGTGATATCAAAGAAACATCTACAGTCTATGTTTTGCTTGTTTCAGAATACTGAAAAGGACTTTACAAGTCCCCATATCTAATAAGTGTTCACTATATTCAATTTACCTCATAGCTTTCCTTTCCTTCTCTTAACCCTGAAAGTGAATATAAAAGCCTTATTTTGGAGAGGATGACCAAAGTGAGGGATGTGCAAACTTTAAAACCTAAAATTTCATACTTGATGAGATTTTAAGAAAGGTATATCAACTTTTAAATGTTCATAAAATATACGATTCTTTATCAAAATATATCCACACGTCATCCTACTTGTAATTATATCAGGTTTAAACTGACATTTTAAACCTGCATATACCCAAGAAAGCTTGTTTAAAGCAAAATGTACTCAAACTGAAAATTCAAAATAATTTCCTCTATAATTCTAAAGGCAAGTTGTCTACTGTGGCCATTTGAATGACAAGTTTACAGCAGCTGCATTTTCATACTGACAATTATTTCTCCAATGCAATAATCAACTGCAATCTCAAAATAAAGCTAGATACTCCTCCCTCCTGCTCTTTTGCAAACACTACATTGGGATATTATCATTTAACCACTAATTAATACATCCACCTAGAAAGCATCATTTGCTAAGAGTATGAAAAGAAAAAGGGTCAGCTAAGTATCAGCAGATCTGACATGTTAGTGTTCATAGCTCATCATTAATGGGGCCTATAAAAATGCTGACTTTAAAAAAAAGATATAACATATTCAACTGAAAGAAAATCGTTCTTTTTCTCTGTTATCTTCCCTTCCACTTTTACAAATAAAATGTTAATTCTTAAAAAATAAGACATTTAATTTAAAGTAAAAAGCTTAGCCTAGGCAACATGAGACCTCGTCTCTACAGAAAATCAAAAAATTAGCCAGGTATGGTGGTTACTCAGGAAGCTGAAGTGAAAGAATACCCTGGCCCAGGAGGTCAAGGCTGCAGTGAGCCATGATCATGCCACCGTACTTCAGCCTGGACAACAGAGTGAGACCTTGACTCAAAAAATAAAATAAAACAAAAATAAAGTAAAAAGTAACATTAATTTTTCATGCTGCATTTTAATAATGACCATCAATTTGAGACACTCTCTAAAAAACAGATTAAAATGCTTATCTAAGTTAAGGCATGCAAAAAAGGAAAACCAGTTTCTTTTTAAATTGCCTTCACAAGATGCTAGAAAGTAACATTTTATTATATGAAGACATTCACAAAATATGCACATAAATCTTTGAAGTACAAAGAGGCACTAATTCTGCATTCAACACCATACTGCATTCCTGTTGCTTTCATTTTTTTCCAAAGAATTTTTCATTTATTACCTAACTTGAGCTTCCTAATAACACATAATAGAGGTAAGACTACCTTTGTACCGTTTCAAAGATTCAAAAGCTGAGACACGTTTATCTTTCATACCTTAAACTATAAATTATAAGATATAATTTGATAAGAAATAACAGAAATAATTTGTGATTAAATATTTACTTATTGGTGGGCAAAAAGTCAAAGATCTGTATTACTGGACTAGACATATATGCAACAAAGTATTATGTTTGTGGACTGTTGACCCAGACTCCCTGGGTTTGCATTCCAGCTCTACCAAGTACTTCTTATGTAACTACTGTGAGACCACTGTTTAAGCTGTCTTCCTTTTCTAATTTGTAGGGAAATGAGAATAATAGTAGTATCAACCTCACAGCGTTGCTGGTTGAAAGGATTATCTATGATGCCTACCTCATATAGCACCCACCTCAAACAGTTATTACAAGGATTCAAGTTATCATATCAGAACTAAGTGCTCAGCACAGTGGCAAGCACATGTGGCACTCAACCAATGCTATTGTTTTCTGTTTAACTCCACAATTTGTGGGCTCTATGAACAAGAGCAGAGCATCTTTGATCTTCAACTCCACATCTTTAAAATGAGGATAAAAAATGTACCCTGCACTAGGGTCATAGGAAGAATTGAATGTAATATTCTACATAAAAGCTCTCAGTAGAATGTTTCATATGGCAACAACAGTCAATACATATTCAATTTTATAACAAATCTTATTCAGTATAATTAAAATAACAATGTTTGAATTAAAGCATTCAATGTTAACTTTTTAAAAAAGAATGATCACAAAATTATTACTAATACACAGATGCAAATATGTCCAAAAAAATTCATACACATAACATTTATTTTCAATTACTTTGGTGATTTAGGCATTATCAAGTGTACAACCTTCTACTCCTCTTATTGTCATGGATTACATGTATTTGTGTCAAATAACAGGGGAGAAGGAAATAATAACAGTACACCAGGTACTTTTCTAAGTGTTTTACATTATGTTAACATATTCATTTCTAGGCTACCAAAAAACTTTAACATATTCAATCCTCACAGAAACCCAATAGGATAGCTTCTATTTATACCTCTAGCTTACAGATGAGCAAATTTGAAACAAAGAGTTTTATTTAAGGTACGCTGTATTTGAAATAGAGACCAATTGCAATCTCCTGTAAAGGACAGCATATAATATATCAGTAGACATAAACTTCTTAAATAAAATAAAACATTTTATTTCTGAAAACTTGGAGAGTTCATACAGATTTGCTCAACTGTAATTCTAAACCTTCACAGTCTTAATACAAAAGCTACTACTGAGCATTTAAAATGTGATATGTACTATAAGTGTAAAATACATTTCAGATTTTAAATTCAATATGAAAAACATACAATATCCCATTAATAAGTTATGTATTGATTAAATGTTAAAATGATAATATTTAGATATGCTGTGTCAAATAAGATGTATTATTAAAATTAACTTCACCTGTTTCTTTTTACTTTTTTAAATTATCCTACTAGAAAATTTTAAATTACATATGTGGCCAACATTATACATCCATTGCACAGATGGTTTAGGTTTAGGAGTAACAGAGACTACTAACAGAGAATTATTATCAAAGTCCTTTTTCCAATCAATATAAGCTTAAGTCCTTCAAAGTTGGAGTAATATAAAATGGAAGATCTCTCTCTCTCTCTCTCTCTCTCTCTCTCTCTCTCTCTCTGCATACGTGTGTATGTAATACTGCACACAAACAATTCATTGGACCAGAGTACATGCTACACTAATACTTCACTATACTCAACACAGAAAATTATTTCATTGTCAGGCAAACACTTCAGGTAATACCAATACGTTGCAGATGAGAGACACGAAGCAAATATAAGGGGGGAAAAAGTTACAGGAAAAAGAACTTATTTTTCTTTTAAAATGAAATCATAAAAGTTCCTTTAATCCAAAAAGATCTAACTAGTTAGCTTCAGGGGTATAAAAAATACCAATGTGGTAAGTAAAACGTAAATTTCCTGATGTCTTGACTGGCAGACTATTAAAATATCTGTATTTTAATAGAGATATTTGACATCTGATTTGACATCTGGTATCTTCTAGAAAACGTCCACTTTATGGATACCTGTCACACTGTTTTAATCAATTTTATACATTGAATGTGAAGCCTCTAACTGATTCTTCTAAATGGAAGCTGGTCCGCTATACAAAAGAAAATTACTCCATGAAGTTTACATCAGATATCTAGAGAAGTCACATTTATAGTCATGGCTACTATCAGCTGTCAAGTCAAAGAATATTGAAGAAAACCAAGAATTTTTAATATATGCTGCTTAATTTATCATCTAAGTGACATATGTAGGATAAAAATTGAAATGGTTAAGCAAAATTATACATTTTAAAAAGTCCTTTCTTCTGGTTTTGTTTTTCATTTTAACTATGATTTGGAAAATTACAGTGAGAAAGCAAGTCGATAGAAACCATAAAAACAGAATTGATAAGTGAAATATACCCTAAGATTTCTCTTTTCTTTCCTTCCCCAAATGACTTAAAATGTTAATTTTTAAAAAGTAGTAATATACTGATACCTTGGTTTGTACTGAAAACCGGCTAAACCATCTATTCCAGGGTTTCTCAATCTTGTCATATCTATTTACATTTGGGGATGGATAATTCTTTGTTATGGAGGAATTGTCCTGTGCACTGTCTGGCATCTACCCAGTAAATGACAATACCACCTCTCTATCAACAGTTCTGAAAATCATAAACACCTAAACATTGTCAAATGTCCCGGGTGGAGGGTTGTAAAGATCTTCCCAGTTGAAAATCACTGATCTATTCCTACCCCAAATACCTTCCTATTTTATTAAAATTACTTCAGTACTTCCTAAACTACTATTATTTAGTTTTAGGGGCTCTTCCTAGGGGAGATCAGTAAACCTACTGAAACCATAAGCAGAATAGCCTGAGTGTGCTTTTACTTTTGGGTGTACACTGGAATGTTTTCTGGAAAAATGTTCTATAGCTTTTCTCAGATCCTGAAAGCTATCTACAAAAAAGGCAATTTTAAAAGGGTTAAGAATCAATGCTTCAACAAAAATATTCACGGTGCCTTGAATCCATCTTTCCAAAAATATAAAGATTGAAAATACCATTTTATACACAGTAAATAACTTAATGTACTGTTTGCTATCAGACAATACCGCTTTCACCACACTTATAAACCATTCACACAACAAACATTTACTGGGTACATTCCACACACTTGGTGCTATTAGCATTTGAAAATTAATCTTAAATTCCCTCTCCCTCACAAAAAAATATAGTAGTATAAAGTTCATATGGCTCATGACCAAGAATTTCTGTATATCAAAAGTTAACATTTAAAAAGAAAACTGGCTATAATAGTAGTATCTAAAGACAAAATAAAGGTAAATATATATGCATAATTTATATTCTTGGTAAAAGATATAAAATATATCCTAAAGAAGTAAACTTAAAGATATTTATAGATAGTCACACTAGTAAATTCTTGTCCATGCACATTTCTTTCTATCTTTTCCTTCCTTTCCCTCCTTAATCAAAATAAAGATATACTGACATTATTATTAAGCCCAGAGGATATTAGGTTGAATAAAAAATATAAATGAGCCAGGCACAGTGGCTCACACCTGTAATCCCAGCACTCTGCAAGAAGGTCAGAAGATTGCCTGAGCACAGGGGTTGAGAGTAGCCTGGGCAACTTGGTGAGACTTCATCTCTACAATAAAGCAAAATATTAGCCAGGCATGGTAGCACATGTCTGTGGTTCCAGCTACTTGGAAGGCGGAGGCGGAAGGATTTCCTGAGCCCAGCAGGTTGAGGCTGTGGTAGCTGTGAGCATATTACTGCATTCCTGCCTGGGCAACAGAGCAAGACTCTGACAAACAAACAAACGAACAAATAAACAAATAAATAAATGAAATGACCTAAATTTAAGTGCTTAGCATTATGCCAAGAACACAACAAAAGTTCAATAAACAGTTCCTTTCTTTCCCTTTCTATTCTCAAAAAGCTCAGTTTCACCTCCAGCAAATATCACGTTTTGATTTCTCTTCTAAGTTATCTTCCAGGTGCTACATAATAAAATCTTCTCTGTGATTCAAACTACATAAACTAAGTAAACAGCAGCTAAATATGTAAAACTACATAACTAAGTAAACAGCAGCTAAATATGTAAAAATGTTGAATAACTATATTATCATTCCATAACCTATATAACATTTCTGGCATTTTGTTTGTTTGGTTGGTTTTTTTAAGCAAACCATCCCCAAATATCCTGTTCTTCTTACAATGCTGTCTAAAATTTACTGGGTCACTAATCTTTTTTGGATTATACAACTAGGATAGCTACTGCATTGTACAAATGGTTTTGGGGATAATAAACACTCATGTTATCAACAAATACATAAGGAATAGTTAGAGAGGAACATGGGTACTTCAACATTACTAAATGGATTAAGGCTAGAATTAGAGTAATGAGCAAAGTGATACTTTAAAATATGTAATAAATCATTACAAATAAATTACAAAATAATTCTGAAATTCCAGAAATGAAGACATCACCCCAAATAATCAATACCATCATATCTAGTCAAAAGCAAAACCTAGCACATAAAAGAGATTTCTAAAAGAAGAATGAATGATTTTTATGTTTATTTTTTATACTATTAGTTGAATAATATTAACAATAAAATTATACTTCACAGAGAAGCAGTGTTAAACTGATCATGGTAAATCACACAGGAAAGTTCTAAACATATAGCATCGAACTTGTGGAAAGGGAAAAATATAATTGCAACTCAAAATAATGTAAGCCACCTAGGGGGTAAAAAAAATATTACATTATTTGCATATTTACCTGCACAGCAAGAGAAGCTGCATTGTCAGAAAGTAAAATTTGCTCCCCTGTAGAAGTACAATGAAAAATAACTGTTAAGTAGAATATATTTTTATTTTAAAAAATGATTTCTATTTTTAAAAAGGTATAGCTCCCCTGTAGAAGTACAATGAAAAATAACTGTTAAGTAGAATATATTTTTATTTTAAAAAATGATTTCTATTTTTAAAAAGGTATAGCCTACCACTAAAGTAATTATAAAATTCTATAATAATGCTGTTGTGCAATTATAATTTTGATTGAATTATCATAGTTTGTAAATACTGATAACACAGGACTGGTTACTCTAAAAGCATTTGATCATTTACTGAATTTTATCAGTAAATGATCAGCAATATGTAATTAAAATTGCTCACTTAAAATCAAATTCATTTTTCAAGTTTTCAAGAAATATTTACCTTCTTTTCATTAAAATTAAGCAAAATAGTATGCTCAAATCCCTCTAGTTAAAAGTAAAAGCATTCACAATCATACAAAACCAGCTTGCAGTTAATATTGCACAGTGCGTCTAGATCTGTCACACAAAAGAAAGATGACAAGTTCGCTGCAATAAAAATTCCATGCTTAGAAGACTAGGGCCGCTGCCTATTAGTCTTCATTACTTTGCAGTCTTCTGACAACTGTAGCAGGCTGCTGAGCCCCAAATGGGGTCCATAATGTGATCTGATGATATATGAAGAGCTGCTAAAGGGAGGCTGAACCATCCTAGCCTATACATTTTAACAGTTCCTTTTTACTGAGAGCCCACTTTACCACAGGACTTCAGAAATCTGCTGTCTCAGCTATTGGTGCAGTAAATCTGCCAAATGCTCCTGCAACCACATCATTTTACACTGCCTACAGCAGCCAATATAATGAGTCAATAATAAACTAAGGACCTTATAGGCCATGAATAGTTGGTTTACACTGGCAGATACAAGTTTGGGTAAAACCTCCTAGACAAATTATACAAGTGAATAATCCCTTCTTTATGTTTTATGCTCTCTTTGCAGTAAACTATATTACTGAGGGTTTATTTGGTAATAAATATATTTTGTAACAAAGCCATTTTTAATTGTGAACATGAACCTACCTTTCAATTGCTGATATAATGTAGCATTTTCAGGCCAAGGTTCTGTAGCTGTGGAAACAAGGCAGTGATAATTAGGTACATAGGGCAAAAGTGTATCAGTAACCAACCAAAGTAACAAGCATGTACGTAGGCCTAGAGCATTTAAAGTCACTTGCAAACACTGCCTTAAATACAGCAACTAATCACACTATCTTAGATTCTATGGCAACCTGTTTAAATAAGTTAGATAACTTGCTGTAAATGAAAATTTGGTTTATTGTTTGGTGTTTTTTTTTATGAGAAGGAGGAAGATACCTTACCAATCAAAAATGAGAATTTAAAAACACAATAGCCTATATGCTAGGATGTTTTTTGGCTTCTTTTAAACACAGACATATCTAAAATGTTACTCATACATATAAAAAGATACTTATGTTTGATTCACTACAAAAAGAATAAACAATATTCATAATGTTTTACTGTTAACTTTTAACAAAGTAAAATTTCAGGCAAGATTATATGAAAGAAACAAATATATCTGTATCAGGTTGTCTATCTTTCCTTACAAGCTGGTGATATTTTAAAATGCAGAGGAATCCTGTTGTATTATTCTAAAACATTTCATTGTCTTGACCCTACCATCACTACCACACAAAAACAATTAAGGCAAAGTTGTATAATGAAGCATTAAGTACCTAAAACATGAAATAAAGTCAGTAAAGCTAATTTTAGGCCTGAAGTGAATAAAGCCTGAACTTTGACCCTCAATCTCTCATCAAGAGAAGACTCCAGCTACAAAGATAATATTAGCAATCTACCAGTGCTTGAAAAAAGAACTAGATTTGAATTTTGTCTAATCAACTGCACCTAAGAAGCAATGGCTTCACTGACAGGATATCCCTGGGTATGGGGGTATTATTTGGATCCTTCATTATAAAAGCCATAAAACATCAGAATCACCAATTCTAACACAATAACTATATTTGCTCTCAGCAAAAAAGTAAATTAAATATACGAGATTTAATAATAATTGATCTTTTTCGTATTGTGTTTATACTAATCCGGTCTCAGTGACATAGCAACAAATAACTCTGAATATATAATTCTGGTTGACTTTTTAAAAGAAATTTATACATATGAAATACTTATTTTTTAAGATGATCATTTTAAATGTACTAAAACAGTCCCCAGGCTGGGGAAAGGAATACCTTAATTTGTTTTGATTTAAGCTTTAGAATAAAAAGAAAAACACTATGATTACAAATTACAAATGTTACTTTTAGGTTTGGTTTGGTTTTGGCTACACAAAATTAAACCCATGCTAAGGGATAATACCATAAAATCATCAAGTAAATACACAGTTTTGTATGTTGCTATCCACAATATCACATATACATATAAGAGCTACTGAATTTCAATGCATATAACAAAAAGGTAATTAAATGAAATATTATATTTTACTATAAACTTTTTAACAGAGTAAAATTTCAATAAAAAGCTAATTACTCTGTATAACACATTTTTATTTTTATTTATTTATTTTTTTGAGTTGGAGTCTCACTCCGTCGCCCAGACTGGAGTGCAGTGGCATGCTCCCAGTCACCACAGCCTCGACCTGCTGGGCTCTGGTGATCTTTCCGCCTCAGCCTTCCAAGAAGCCAGAATTACAGGCGTGCGCTACCATGCCTGGCTAATTTTTGATTTATTGGAGAGATGAGGTCTCACTAAGTTGCCCAGGCAGGTCTCAAACCCTCAGGCAGGTCTCGAACCCTCAGGCTCAGGCAATCCACTCACCTTGGCCTCCCAAAGCGCTGGGATTACAGGCTGAGCTACTGAGCCTGGCCAATAACACATTTTTAAAAATAAAAGTCAGGGAAACAAAAACAAGCTGACATCAGCAAATTAATCAAAAATAACCTTTCAGAATAAACTGTATGGTTAGCATACCTACAATGTTTACATCTATACTAGAAACAATACAATGAGTTCATTCATTACAAGATCCTAAATCATCAAAAATTCAATTGTATGCATTACAGTAATCTTACTGGCAGTAAAACACAAATAAAATTCACACAAATTTCAAAGAACAAACACTGAAACAGTTCTTTAGAGGCACAGATTTGTTATATGCATCTATGTATCCCACACTGTACTATGTCTTGCATACAGTTGATGTTCATTAATTGTGTGTGGAAAGAAAGAAAAGGGATACTGAATTAAACCTATCATCTAATTCCCTAGGAATTCTGGTTAATCAAAGTTTTACTGAACTTAATATTATCATGTATGTTAAAGTAATAGGATGCTCTAATTAAATATTCTGGTAATTTTAACATTTGGTTAGCTATTTTGTGTATATACTAGACATGCATTACAAAATTTTAAAACAATGAAATAACATACATTTAGTATTAAATATATGCTGAATATAATTTAACAATTATCTAATAAATCAAAAGCAAATTCACTACTCTGGAACATAACAGAGTTCTTATATGATCAGCAAATTATGTGGTCAGTAATTTCAGTTAAAAGTTAACTCATCATAACCTCCATTGATTCTCCAGTTCTGATCCAATAGACATATGTAAAAGTAATAGAAAGTTTGCAACATATTACCTGACTGCAAATAAGACTAAAGAAGTTGCCTACAAATTCCAAAAGCTCTATTATTAAGAACCTAGGCCAGGCTTAGTGGCTCAGCCTATAATTCCAGCACTTTGGGAGGCCAAGACGAGTGGATTATCTGAGTCAGCAGATTTGAGATCAGCCTGGGCAACTTGGCAAGACCACATCTCTACAATAAATAAATAAATAAAATAATAAATAAATAAATTTATTTTTAAAATGGCTGGGCTTGGTGGCTCAGTCTGTAATTCCAGCATTTTAGGAGGCTGAGGCAAGTGGATTGCCTGAGCCCGAGGGTTCAAGACCAGCCTGGGCAACTTGGCGAGGACCTCATCTCTACAATAAATTTTAAAAATTAGCTGGGTATAGTAGCATGTACCCATAGTTACAGCTACTTGGAAGGCTGAGGTGGAAGGATCGCTGGAGCCAGGCAGGCCGACACTGGGGTGGCCATGAGTGTGCATGCCACTGCACCCCAGCCTGGGAGAAGGAGTGAGACACCAACTCAAAAAAAAAAAAGAACCTAAAGCTGGAAACGGGTGAAAAGGGTCAATGGTTTTTGCTCAATCTAAGATAAAAACTGTTTCGATTTAGAAATTATTACTGAAAATAAATTTCACAAAGTAACCTACCAAAACATCTGGTGTCTTTTGTTTTTGTTTTGTTTTCACAAATAGAACATATCATTTAAAAAGAGGCGGCAAGCCGGGCTCGGTGGCTCAGTCTGTAATCCCACGCCTTTGGGAGGCTGAGGTGAGTGGATTGCCTGAGCCCGCGGGTTCGAGACCCGCTGGGCAGCAAGACCTCATCTCTACAATAAATCAAAAAATCAGCCAGGCGTGGTAGCGCATGCCTGTAATTCCGGCTACTCGGAAGGCTGAGGCGGAAGGATCGCCGGAGCCCAGCAGGTCGAGGCTGCGGTGGCCGGCAGCAGCTACTGCACTCCAGTCTGGGCGACAGAGTGAGACTCCAACTCAAAAAAATAAATAAATAAATAAATAATTATAAAATAAAAAGAGGCAGCAAGTAGACTGTTATCAACCTTTCTAGCCATGTTATTTTACTAGATAGGATTGCAGTGTGTCATAGATTAGTGAACAAGAAATGGTAGAGAATGCAGGGAATGACCAGCTGCCTATCTCACCCATGAGCAGCTCAGAGTATACAAACATCACTGATTTAAGTGCATCAGCTGTGTGACCTAGCTTAGATAATTACATGTAAAGCATTACATGGGAGAAGAAATTGCTAGCATATTATTCCATAAGAGTGCCAAAAGTGAAAACCCTAAACTGGGTGACACAGCAGTAGGTATCTATAAATCAATCATGCAGGGAATCACGCTAGAAATGAGTTCTAAAACCATCTTCATAAGTAAGTCCATGAATCACGAACATTGTTATCTACATGTTACAAAATACAAAGTCTATTTATTTCTTGGTTTGGGGATACCTATTATGCAAAAGGCAAAGTCCAAAAACGACAATTTCTCCACTCTTCTCTTTCCCAAAGTCAGGCAAATCAATATCTACCCCTTGCTCCTCAGTGTGTGCAAAAGAGAGGGAGATTAAGAATTTAAAATCATGGTGCTGACAATATAAAATTTTTAAATGTAGCATTTAAAAAGACAGGTTAATCTAAAACAATAATAAAACATGTTCACCTTTTACTAATTGGTCTTCAGTTGACCTGAAGTATTTTGGACCACAAAGTACTTCAATAGGAAATACAACTTCATTTCTTGTTTACTATTTCCAGTTTCTACAACCAAAAGCACTCCCTGATGTGAAGTGCCATTTTAAATATGCTTTGGGGAACGGTCGGCCTTAGAATGAATATAGGCAAGACTAAAAGTTTCAAAAAGGAGGAAAGGAGGCTGGTAAAAAATGGAGGCTGAGGAAGAAAGTTATCCAATGCTGTCCAAGTGTAAGTTACTGGTATTAGCAGCATATCAAAAGTAAACTTTATGCTTAAGACATATCAATAGTATGTGTGGTTCTTGGAATAAAGACAGAATCCTCTACATGGCCTACAGGTTCTACTTGGCCTCTCAAGTCACCCTCTCTACTCATCACATACATTCCTCACTCTCTGTACTCTGGACACCCTGGCCCCTTCATTCAGTTTTTGAATGCACCACTCTCCTTCCTGCTGTTTTCCCTGCCTGGGACAATCTTCACCTCCTATTGTGTCACCACTTCGCAGCTCAAACATCACTTCCTCAGAGCCAGGTTCATGGGCATGCAACCTGTGCAGATGCATACAGCCTGCACTCAGAAGGCCCCATATTTAGTTTAATGTTCCGCTGCCTCAGTCTTGAAAGTCTTGATAATTTTTAACATTTCATTTTGCACTGAGCTCTACAAAGTACGTAGCCAGTCCTATCTATTCCCAGGGTAGTCTTCACTGATCTCCCTGAATAGTTTAAAAACTATTTC